CACACACACACACACACACACACACACACACACACACACACACACACACACACACACACGGCAGGTAGCGTTGGAGGTTCTTGATGACTCTGGGAGGCAGATTTCTGAGGGGCTGTCTGCCTCCCTGCCCCTACATCCTTAGACCAATATGTCTGCAGATAGCACAGCCCTTTACAGTGTGTGAAGTTCTCATGGCCATCTGTCATTGTAACAGTCCTGGAGGTGGGGGTAGGGAACTTAGGGACCTCACTCTGACCAGAATTCACATTTTCCAGCCAGCTTTGGTGTGGGGCCAGGCCCTGTACTGGGTGCTAGGAATCCAAGGAGGAACCACATTTGACTGTAGCCCCACTAAGGAAATCCCTCCCAGTGGGTGAGGAAAGAGACTAGTGCAGGGGAGCCGGAGGGGCTGCCCAGATTTCTCAAGGAGAAAGGGAGGGAGAGTGCAGGTAGAGCCAGGCACACAGGACGTGCCATGAGGCATCGTGAGGTGTTGTGCAGCCATGATTTCGGTGGGGCCTCCAAGGGGGAAATGTTGGGGCGTGAGGTGACAAGATCAGCAGGTTCCTATGGCCAGGTCCTGCTCTGGTGTCTCCGGTGACATATAGGGACCACAGAGCATCCCTACTGAGCAGCCACTCTGTCTTATTACATCTGCACTCCTCTCACCTCCTCCCACATCAGCTCATCCACAGATGCTGATGGGAACAGTCCTAAAGGAGATACGTAGTTATAGGGCTGGAGAGAGGGCTCAGCAGCTAAGAATGCTTGTTGCTCTTCCAGAGGACCTGAGTTCGATTCCCAGCACCCACATGGTGGCTCCTGGCCTCTGCAGACACCAGGCAAGCAAGAAGTTCACACACATACACACAGGCAACATACCCATACACATTTATTTTTAAATTGGATAGTAAATATATTTACTATAATACTAATATGCAACCAACATGTTTTAAAGTAATCCAAAATGTTTGGAACCCAAACTTCCAGATTTCAGGTTTTTTAGTATTTATATATATTTCACACGTTGAGCATTCCTAATCTGAAAACCCCAAACCCACAGCTCCAAACTCCCAAATCTGAGCATCATGTCAGTGCTCAGAACATTTCAGATGTGGGAGTTTGGGTTTTCAGATTAGGGCTGCCTGCCTACCTTGAATTATTAAATACACAGTGCACTAGTTTCAAAGATACACAGGTTTGGCAGTTTGCTTAAGTGGGATCCAAACAGACATCCTTAATAGCCATGGCCCGATTGCCCTTTCTTCTTTTCATTTTCTCCTGCAATTTATTTGTTGAAGAAACTGGGTCATTTGTTATGTGGACTTCTCACTGGGTGGATTTTCTTGGCTGCATCCGCATGCAGCCATTTGACATGTTCTCTGGCTCCTGCATTTCTGTAACCCAGGATTTGTCCCAGCTGCTTGATAAGGTTCATGCAGAAGTCACATCTTGTCCTCTTGCCCCACACCTCCCCCCGACTCTCTCTCATGATGTGAAGTGTCCATTGAATAATGTTTTTTCAGACAGGGTCTCACATATTAGGCCAGCCTAGACCTCGGTATGCAGCCCTGTGGAATGTGGAAATTTCTGGTCTTCTCTCCTCTACCTCTTCAGTTCCGGGATTACAGGCATGAGATACCACATCGGGATTATTTGGTGCTGGCGCTCCAACCCTGGGCCTCCTACATGGTAGGCAAGCACACCACCAGCGAGCTGCATTCCTAGCCCTTATTAGTTCTTTGGAACAAGATGTAGCCCAGGCAGGCCTAGAATTCAGTCTTTCTGTCTCCAACTCCCCCAACCTCTGCCCCACAACCCAGTGCTAGGGTTTTATACCCAAACCCATGAATCCATCAATGGCTCCAAAATAAAAGTGCCTCAGTATCATCCTTTCTCCCACACTTATTACCTGGGATTTGTTTCCAGACGGAGCCCCCCTTTCCTCGCTGCTCGGTTGCCCTCTGGTCAGCTATGCAGAAAAAGGCAGGGTAGTGAGTGTTTCATTCTTTGTCTGCATTTCCCGTCTCAAGAAGTAAGTTGATTGGCTGCCCTTCCCCAGGAGTGACTGTCCTGTATCTGTGACCTCCTGAAGTTGAACATGTTCACTGTTCAGCGCATTGCCGTTTCCTTCCTAAAGCTCAGGTGGGTCTATTTGCAGCAGCTTCCTGATTCTTTTGGCCTAGATAGGGAGGCTGTGGGCCTCTGTGACTTGTGACATAATCGGATGTGGCATGTGGACAGATGTGTTTGGACTGTCACCTCCCACCCTCATTGCCCTGCAGGCAGCAGAGACTGGGGGGGGGGAGCTACTGTGGAACCCACCCCACGCCAATTCTAAGGGATTGGCAGGAGGGGAAACCGAGGCCTCCAGGGATCCTGACTCTGGATCTCTGACCCTGGAGCCTCATTAGCTGTTTCTCGGTCCACAGTGGGCTCAGAGCCAAACCTTGTGTTTGACTAATGATCCTCCCAGGTCCCAGCATACCTCCTCCTGCCCTGTGAGGGCTCCCCCCTCCCCCTGCACCCCACCGCTGCAGTCCAGAGCACCCAGTGCAGTCTCGGGGGAGGAGGCAGCAAGACCATGGGCATGGCTCTCTGCCATCGGGTATGATTCTGTATGCTTGGGCAGTTTCTCCGGACTTCAGCTTTCCATCTGCGCAGTGGGATGAGCCCACCTTGTACGGGCCCCACTTTGTTATCCAGTGTTCTGCCTTCAAAGAAAGCTAGGGAGCCAGTGCAAGGGTCGGGGCAGAGGTCAGAGCTCACAGAGTTGGGTGAAGACAGAGGCCAGGAGAGGCCAGGAAGCAGTTGGCAATACTGGACCATGCCTGGTTACAGACCTGGGTCCAGGTTGCTAAACCCATATCGGACAGAACCCAGCAGCTTCTGCCAGTGACTTCCCAGGGCATCATCCTGCAAAGCTGTGAGGTGG